CGGGGCCAGGGCCGTCCCCCCGGCCTTGGGCACGAGGGCGAGCGAGTGCCCGGGGAGCGCGCCCCGTCCGCAGTCTCCGGGTCCCCGGCCCGGCTCCCCGCCCCCTCGGCTGCAAAGGGTGGGCCCGGGGCAGCAGCCCCTTCCACACCTGCCCTCGGCAGCTGCCTCCCCGCCCCACTGACCCTCTGCTCTTTCTAGACGGCGGTCCGCGCCCCGCTTCCCTGCCCGTACCTTCCCCAGGCTCTCCGGCTGCCCGCCTCTGCTCTGCTGGGGACGCGCGACCATCCCGCGTGTGCTCCGGCCGCCGCTGTGCGATGCACGGTTTAGCGGATCCTGCACCTTTCCAGACTGGGGGGAGGAGGGGGGCGGGGGAGCGGGGAGGGGGTTAGTGCAACCGTCTCGCCCAGAGCACACTGGTGATCGGTAATCACCCGCTCTCCAAGATCGGCAGCGTGGCCAGACAGCCTCCTCGACCAAAAAAATCGCATTCGGTCACATGAAAGAGAAATCCTTGGAACCGAAAATGAGGACCATCTTCGAAAAGTGCCCTAGATCCTAGATTGTTGAGGCAAGAGTGCCAGAAAACTCGAATTACTTCTTGACTCGTCCTGGTTTTGATGTGGGTTACTGATGTCCAGATAGCTTCAACCCAGTTAGGCCCGATGAAATTCAACAGTTCATTTAGTAAACGACACCAAAAATAATCCGACGACAAAGTAAGTCTAGAAATAGAATTATTACTGTGTTTTCACAAACTTAGCCATTGGCATTGTTATTCCCAGGGTTTCTTCCCAGCATGAACAAGGCCTGTGATTTCAGTCATCACCTAAAACCGATAGTTCTGTCTACAACTGGGGAGACAGTGTAGGGTGGTGGTTAAAGGCAAGGGCACCAGAATTAGATAACCAGAACTGGTTATCCACTTGCTAACTAGGAGACCATGCGCATGTTACTTACCCGATCAGTCAGTTTATTCTTTTGTTCAAGAGGAGATTACATGTGATAATATGTATGTAAATGTGATAATATACACAAAGCTGGTTACACAGGGCCTGACATGTGGTAGGTCTCATGAGGTGGGAAGTTAGCTATTGCCACATTTTCCTCCTGGGACCCTTTCCTCTGCTCCTTCCCTTCTTCACCTCTGCTGATTCCCTCAGATATGTTACATCCTCCCTAAATCTGCACTAGTCCTTGATTAATGACTTCTAGCTGCTCAAGCCTAGCATGTAGTCAACATTCAAATACGCACTTACTGAATGTGGTGAATGAATACATGCCCTTCACACCAGCAGTACCAAGGACCAAGCCCCACCTCTGTGCCTTTCCATGGCCTATTTCCTCTCCCTGCGTCCATCATCCCCTCAGCAGATGAGCAAATCATCCTTCAGATCATTCCAACATCACCTCCTTGACGGTCGTTCTCTGCCTCCTCTGAGTGGGCCAGCGCTGTTCTCCTGACCCTCTATTCTCTGACATTGTAGTTATATTAGATTGTTTTTGAGCCTGTCTCCACCCTCCAAACAGTGCATTGTTTACCGGCAGGCTCTGTGTCTCATTCATCTTTGTAGTCCCAGCAGCCAATAGCAAATGGGTGGAAGTAAATGCTTTTGGAATAAATGAATGAGTTTATGGATTTTGAAAATGACTCTGAAGTGGTCGGAAATTTTATTCCCTTTGATTCAGATCATTAAAGTTCATTGAGAACTTTATTTCCACCGTAACTTTTTCTTATAAATGATTTTAAGTCATTGGTTATCCACTTGCTACCTAGGAGGCCATGGGCATATTATATTTAAACCTCAAATAGAATGAATTTTTAAAAGCCATAATTATCCGAGACAAATTGTTTTTAAGCTTGAATCAGCACTTTGAATTGCCGAAGGTATCATCAGTACATGAAATCACCTGAGTGACATGGACAGCCACACATACATTTATGATCTCCTTAGGATTTTACTTTAAGATAAAATATTTGTGTAGGAGTTGAAAATAATAGATATTTACAGAGGAGTGGTCCTATTGGCAGCTAATTAAAACAAAGTAGCTGATTTATCAATGCATCTTTACCAAGTACCACTGAAGTCAAATATACAACAATCAGAAAAAGATAATGCTTTCAAATTCACTGTGGTCAGGTTTGAGCAACCTGAATGGGACAGATTCCAGAATCACAAACCAAGATTTCTCTTCTATCCATGTCCTCTCTTATAACATCCTTTTCTTGACATCTCTTTCCCTGTAAAATTCGTCTAGCCCCCAGCCCCCACCATACAGGTTATTCTCCTTTATGTGCTGATATCTGTACATATTTTTATCATTACACAGTATTTGTTTCTTCTACTATACCTTCAGCCCCTTGAAGACGAGAACAATGACTTCCTCATCTCTGCTTCTCCAGCATCTAGCACAGTGCCTATGGTGATCAGTAAATGTTGGTTGAATGAATGGATTAGCGAATTTGACAGACATTTACTGAGTAGCTACTACAGTCGTGCTCTGCATAATGACAGTTCGATCAACAACAGACTGCATACACAACGATGGTCCCATAAGGTTTGTACCGTGTAGCCTAGGTGTGTAGTAGGCTATACCATGTAAGTTTGTGTAAGTACTGCATGGGAGGAAGAAATTTTCCTCTACCCTTCTAGGTTCTCCTGGCTGGTCTAAGAATAAATTGACAAGACAGATTAACAGGAGAAAAACAAACAAAAATTTAATAACATGTATACATGGGAGAAACCCAGGAAAACCAAGAAACTTGCCAAAATGGCTGAAGCCCTCACCTTAAATACCATCCTCAGCTAAAGACAGAAGAAGGTGTTGGGGGTGGGGAGAGTCAGGGACTTCAACGGGAAGGAAGGCAATTCACAAGTATGTGAAAAAGAGCGAACGTTTGGAAAACAAGTGTTTGGCCACACAGAAACAGAAGAACACAGAAGGGAGCCCAACAAACATTCTTTTCTGGGTTCTTCCCTGTCTACCACCTAGTACATGTTACGCCAAGGTGATAGCTCACTTCCTGAGACAGGTTTTTTAATCGGAATTCTTTTAGGCAGTTAACGGGAAGGTAACAAAAAAAACTTTCTGAGTCTTTTGTTTCTAAAAAATAATCAACCTAAAATAATCCTCATGTCAAAGAGACACATTTTGGGATGGCAAATTTTATTCCCCTTCAGTACACTCTATGATATTCACACAACGACGAAATCACTTAACAATGCATTTCTCGGAACTTATCCCATTGTTAAGTGATGTATAACTGTATGTGCCAAGTACTATTTGTGGCCCAGGGATACATAGCAATGAAAAAAATCTTAAAAGTCTTTGCCCTCATGGAACTTACAGAAGAATGAATGAATAGATAAATTCATAAAATAAACACCTCCAAATCCTTTACCTCTATTAGAATATCATTCTGGAAATTCCCGATGTCTTGGTGTGTTCACTAATAATTGATTGCTTGGGACTCAATATTTTTTTCCATAATAATGACGTCAAAATAGTTATTAAGGTATCAGATGCCTAAACTCTGTAGTAAAAAACAGTAGAAATAAATTACATTACAGATATAATCATTAAGAGTAAAGAAACAAAATTTTATTTAATAAAGGATACAGAGGTCCTTTTATTTTTTATTTATTTTTTTGCTAAGGAAGATTCACTCTGAGCTAACATCTGTTCCAATATTCCTCTTTTTGTATGTGAGCCACTGCCACAGCATGGCCACTGACAGACAAGTGGTGTAGGTCCACATCTAGGAACCAAACGGAGCATGACGAACTTAACCACTAGCTCACCAGGGCTGGCCCCAGAGGTCCTTTTAAGTCTTATGAAACATAATGTTCAAGAAATATTTTTGAATAAAAATAATAGCAAACCAATTATATTTATATTGACTTTTCTTTCTCCTTCATATCTATCATTTTCTCTCTAAAAATCTCAATTGTTTTCCTTGGGTATATGTACACTGTCCACTGTGCCAGAAATTTGATTCAGCTATATTCGGTCTAATATTTTGATTCTAATTTAGTTGTTAAATTTGTAATGGCATTAAGTCTCAATTTCAATCTTACTTTGCTAAAATGCAAGATGAGATAGCTTTATAGTCTGCTTTTGCATCTCAATCTGTGTTTTATCATCTGTAAATTGAGTTCTTTTGTTGAATGTGTACTCACTTGTATGACATTTGTCTATAGTGCAAAGCACTCATTGAAAGTATTCTTCTGTTCCATGGGTTATTTTTCTTCTAGCCTGGGTTCTTCCTCTGTCTTTTGAATGCAATGTTGCATTTTTTTATTAGTATTATTTTTGCTGTAATGATTTACATAATTTTAACATAATTTATTTTCATTTTGCTCCAGCCTAATCTAGGAAGCTATCTCTAGATCTTCTATTAGTTTAGCTTTGCCCAGTAGAGCTTCTGGGAAAAATTAAATTATATTTAGTTTCATTCATTGCATTAGTTTTTAGGAATGGGAGAGTGTGATATTGTGATATAATAAGAAATATTTATTTTGGTGTTCATTCAGGGTTCCTGTTACAGAGCTCCTAAAACTCCTGTAATTTCCTAAGTGACAAGAGTGATAGGACTATAATTTGTTATTATATTTGATTTTTGTTTCCAGCTCCTGAAATAGCTCAGAGTATTAAAGGAGAAAGGAGTGTCTTTTGTTATTCATAACAAGCCCCTTTCAACCACACCTGAGTTTATGTTAATAAAGTGACTTTTGGAAAGCACCTAAGGATGGGAGCTCT